TGAAAGGGTTTCTTTATCTCCTGGAGCTTGATGTCTCTTTTCTCTTACATCTTGAGTTTTGTTACCATGAAAAATCTGATTTTTTTCTGACATTTTGGTACGTAACTAATTTTTTTGTTTTGTTTTGTATTTTAGAGAGATTTTTGACATAGGGTGTGTGTGCTCGTTGGAGAGACAAAGTAAGAAATCACCCCACAGGTGGTTGGCTATGCCACAATCCCTTCTCCTCCATTTTCCTCTCAGGATTTTAGGTTTGCATACGCACACACCTAGCATAAATTTCAAACCACCGGGTTCAGGACTTGAACCTCATTTAGCCCTGTGGGAGTCCAGTGATGTAACCATTATGCCATCAGCTGGTCTCCTGTTGTTTGTTTTGTTGGAGATAAGTTACTGTGTTCCCTTGATGGGGGCATATTTCCTGGTTTCTCATACTTGAGGCTCTACTCAGATTTTTAGTCATTTGGTGATGTAGTCAATTTTGGCTAATTCTTTGAAAGTTTCTGTAGTTGTGAGCTCATGTGTTTTTGTCATTGTGAATTACTTCTGTGCCAGTTTCTTTTTTCTGTGGTTTGCATGTATTGTCTACAGTAGGAATTTTGAGTTCAGATTTATAAAGAGGAGTTTCTCCTTTTTTGGTGGTGGTTCAGTGTATAAAGAGGATTTCTCCAGAGCCTCATAATGTTCAGATATCTGGCTACTATAGACCTAGACCTGGGTAGTCCCTCTGGAGAAAAGGCTGAGCAGGAAAGTGAAAATGTAGAATGGAAGAAAGATTTTTAAAAATCATGCCCTCTTCAAGCTTGGCATGCAAGCTGGGCAAGGGGCTTCAGATGGAGATGTATGATTAAGAAGCCTTAAATTTCCCTGTTTTATGTGGCAGGAGAAAAAGTTAGCAAAATAAAGGAAAAACTCACCTGATTTCTACCTTTGAAACTACAAGGTGAGGTTGGAGGTTTGGGGCTGGGGCTGGCTCAGCATTTGCCCTGGTTCCTGGCTCAGCAGCAGGCTTCAGATGGAGATGCCTGCTTGAGACTTGCAATTTCCCCATCCTTCTAACTCTGAAAGTGCAAGGTGAGGCTGGACAGCTGGGGCTGGGGCTGGGGCTTACTCAACTCTGATTCTGGTCCTTGGCTGGGCAGGGCTTCAGGTGGGCAAAACTTTTCTTTTAATAAAACAAATATTACACAGATATACATACATAATGTAATTACAACTAGGGAATTCTAGTATTCTCCAGAAAATTTCCTACATTAAAAAAAAAAAAAAGAAAATTCCCTACATTTATGAAAGTGAAGTAACCTATGAAAAAAAAAAGAAAATGTATTATTATGGTTTGGATAATGGTTCATCTCCCAATTGTTCATGTTTTGGAATCTGTTCTCAAATATAATGGTGTTAAATGGTGTGGCCTTGTGGATGAAGAGTAGTTCATGACAATTAAATCACAGAGGCACCACAAATGGATTAATATTGCAGTGGGAGTGACTGAGTTCTAGCTTTTGTGAGAAGGCATTAATTCTCACAAGACCAGGTTGTTAAAAAACAAACAAATAACAAGAACAAAACAACTGCCTGCAGCTCTCTCAACATGTGCCTGTAGTCCCCTGTGCTTCTGTGGGCCATGGAGCTGGCCTATAAGTCACATGCCTTTGGACTTTCCACTTAGCAAAACTATGAGTCAAATAAATCTGTATTATTTATAAATCACCCTGTTATAGGCATTTCTGTTAGCAATGGAATAACAGACTGGGACAGGTATGAAGACAGGACCACTTGAAAAATAATGTCTTCTCTGCTTGTGGCATTTCACCAGGAGTATGATGCCACCATTCTGCTTGAAAACATGATCTGATACATAATTCATCATCATACTTATACCTTCAAAGGCATACTTATTTAAAACACACCAATATTTTAAGAATCATTGTGTGGAAACTCAGAATGTCAGTTAGGTGAGACTTTAGAGATTGTGTCTAAGGGATTTCATCAATCTCATGGAATACATGCAATCAAGAGCCCATAATAACTAGGCAATAATAAATGAAGCAAGTCATTTGTAAAACATCCCTTACACACACACACACACACACACAAAATGCAATTTTCACTCCTCCTAATTTTTAAAAAGAATATGTAGGTATCATGATGTATATTTTTTTTCATTTTTAAGAGAACTGGGTTCAAGAAATATTTTGCTTTTCACTATGCCATAAGAAAAACAACATAACCTAAATTTCACAGAAAAGGGATAGAGGTGAACCATGGCAAAACAGAAAATACACACTCCATGCAAAAGGGATAGGCCTTGTTCCAGCTGATTGCCCATGTGAGATTTCTCAAAAGAAGTCAGAAATCTGGACTTGCATGTGAAGCCTCCTAATTTTAACTGTGGGAAACTACTTTAAAGTGTGTTAAGAGAATTCTAGTCAAAAAGAGCTGTTCAAGGGCTGGATGTGGCTTAGTTTACAACTTTGACATGACTCAACCCTATACTTTAGGTATGAAGGACAACATCAGCTCACTGATATTTGCTACAGGCCATCTAGGTGACAAGGGATTACAACTTAAATTTTCTGGATGCATTCTGGCATCCCCCAGAGAATTTACTTCAAGAGTGAAGAAACTTATGAAGTGTTTAGTATTATTCAATGATAGATTAAAAGGCATATGACCTTTAGTGTAGATGTATTAAGCATTTTTCATGTAGTACATCCTTCTTTCCACCCAGGAAGTCATAGATGGAAAGTAGAAATGTTTTGCTCTATCTTTAAAATTTCAAAAAATAATTTTAA